TTTCCTTTGACCGGAATTGAACCCAGGACCCTTTGGTCTGCAGGACGATGCTCTATCCACTGAGCCAAACTGACTAGGTCTGCACAGTCTTGTTGTAGTTGAGCCTGTCTTGTTGTTGGCCTCACTGAGAGGAATTGACCTCCAGGCCAATTGGCTATAAGGACCAGCTGCAACTACAGTGGGAGAGCTGCTGTGCAGGAAACACCCCTATGAAGCAGAACTTGCTTCAGTGGGGCTTTAGTACTCACTGAGTCTGCCTCTTAGTGTGTTGCTTGTGGATGGGTAGAGCTGTAATCTGCTATGGCCTGAAGCTGTTCATTGGGTATACTGGCTATTGTTCCTACAGGGAGGTGCAAAGTCAGCCACTGCCTGGGGCCACCCTGCAGGAGCTACAGAGGGATCTGCAGAGTGATGCTTTTTGTATTGGGTTTAGAGGTGCCCAGGTGAGTCCCAGTTGTGAAGCAAGGCAGGCAGGTGCTAGTGCCAGGTCTTGGGCCTTTTATTGATAGACCCCACTGGTGGCATGCTGTCACCAGCTGCAGCTTGTTTGAGAGATTTTAGCAAACTCTGGAGCCTGAGTCAGGACAGGCCATTTATATGGAAAAGCTGTTGTAAACAGTTTGGGTGGGGCAGGTTCTCAGGGTATCCCCAGGATGGAGGAAACAGTGTGCTTCAGGGTAATGCTCCATCCAGGTCAGATGTGGCTGCCAATCAGCTCTATGACAGGAGGTCCCAGCATAGAAACAATGACCCCTCTCTGGGAGAAAGCTGCCCCTGAGTTCCTGCTCCAATACTAGCCAATCCATTACCTCCCTGTATGTGTTGGGGTCCCCCAAAGCCACTTGGTGTTGGGAGTCCAAATAAATTTGTGTGCCAGCCCTTTTAATGGAATACCTTTATCTCTAGCCACCTCCATGTCATGCAGCCATAATCCCCACTGGTTTTTATAGCCTGTAGTTGCTAGGACTTCTCTTCTGCAGTTCTGGAACACTGGGCTGGAGGATTGGTTTGGGGCTGGGACCCCTTGCTCCTCACCGATGGCCTCCACAGAGACAGTCTCCCAGTTAAAAAAGTGGCACATGTGGGTATTGTACCAGCCCATTCTGCACCTCCGCCCCTCCTACCAGTTTCAGCTTCCTTCGTTACTTCTCTAGTTGTAGGGCTTCCATTCAACCAGCTTTCAGGTAGTTCTGAATGATGGTTGTTCTGTATTTTAGTTGTAATTTTGATGTGGTTGTGGGAACCTGCGAGTACCAGCATTTAGCTATGCCACCATCTTGGTTCCTTCCTCAGTCACATCTATATATATAGAAGCTCATTGACCAAATGGCAGAACAACCAGAATGACTGGTTGACCAGTCGCTATGATGTGCACTGGCCACTAGGGGGCAGACACTCAATGCAGGAGCTGCCCCCTTGTGGTCAGTGCACTTCCACAGTGGGAGTGCCACTCGGTTGACCAGGATGAGTGCCACTCCCACAGCGGGCTGATCCCCACAGGCTCCACCCCACACCAATGCATGAATCCATGCATTGGGCCTCTAGTATAATAATAATTAGAGGGAAAAAAGAAAAGAGAATGCTGCCACCTTTTCATTGTCTGTAACAATTATGCAGATATGCCTTTAAATGGAAAATAAAACCAGGAAGAATACCAAAGTACTGAGACCTCACTTGTGTTAAGGTGGGAGAATTATGGGTAATTTTTCTCCCCTCTACTGTCCACATCCAGTGTGAAATCATTATTTTACATTTGCTATGGACACAGTTGAAGTCCCTTTTGTCTCACTCCCCAGTCTCATTTCTCTTTCTCCCTTCCCAGAGGCAACTCCAGCTCCCACA